CAATAAGCTACTAGGAACAAGTGCATCGCTTCTAGTAACAAGTGCCTGACTAGTAGTAACAAGAAGCTACTAGGAACATCTAGGAACAAGTCTTCCACATGCCTCTTGTTCATGTCCTCTTCCAACACCCAAAAGGTCGCACACGCTTCAGGTCGAAGGCTTTGGAGCGACCAATTCACACTGGCCACTGGTTCTACTATTTTTTGTATTGTTTGTTCCGCCGCATACGGCCTTTCCTGTATCAAATCCGGCAATCGTCACAGCGCTGAGTCTCCAAGAAACAGGTGGTAGAAAAGCCGGGCGCGGGGTCTGGATCCCTAAGGCCGGAGGGCATCCTAGGGTTTGCCACCGGCTCCCTTTACAGTTGGATCCAGACCAAAGTCCAGTTCAAGCAACTACTCGAGCGAGCTGCTGCTCGCTGCCTACATGGTAGCAATATATACAAGCTGGACCCTCACAGGTTGGGATGCCGTGCCCGAGCGTAGGGAGGCAAACTGTCTTTACCTGGCACAACACGAATGTCCCAGATTGAATCATCTGCGTGTCCTCCTTCATCTACCATGACTTGGGCGCTGCGGCGCTCCAACCGCAACTGCACGTAGTTACGGGCCCCCCAACCCAACAATGCCTCCCGTTGTCCTGTGGATGTCGGACAAGCGGCTGACATACTCTTCCAGCGACTTCTCGAAGCCTCCTTTGGTTCGTTCACTGATTAAGCAAATTCGGTTGCGCGTCAAAGAGTCGACGAAGGTCAGCGCCATACCTGGCGGTCGCTCCGCGCCGGGCCGGCGGTGAGACCGTCGCTCGGAGGACGGGCGAAAGGGGCCGAGCGCGGCATGTCACAGGTAGGCTTTGCCATGACTGGGCATGGAGTGAATGTGAGTGAACGTGACTGGGCTAGATTTGTTCTCAAACATCTGGGCAGGCTAACAGCTACAAAATGCTGCTGCTACTGCCCATGCATCTGATGGTGGGCGCCCCAAGGTCCCAAAGCAGTCCTGGTTTCACTTGTGCATCCAAAGGCACGTGCAAATAGCACTGCCGCCAGTGGCACGGGATAGACCACAATCCGCTTCATGACGCCCGGGTAATGCCTCAAATCATTTGACCAGTAACAAGTGCATCGCTACTAGTAACCGTTGAAGGACCCGTGCTTCAAGTCTTTGCGAAAACGCACGACCGCACCGCTAAAAAGAGCACATGCGACCGCCGAGGCACAAGGGCAACTGCCGGGAACACATCCGCAGCAGGGGCAAGAGCTCATGAGGCTTTGGATTGGGCCAGCCCGGGTGACCTGCCAGAACCGAATCCTTCCCGATTTCAGACCGCTATCGAGAAACTGTCTACTGAACATGCTGACGCCTTGGACTGCCGCCAGTCGGCAATGAGGGGTGATCTTTCTGAAACAAAGGAAGCTCAAGAGATATATATATATATATCAAACCAAAACGAAGCGCCCAATGAGAAGCTGGGAGGTCGGTGTGACCACTGGTGTGACCCAAGTCAGGGTACAGCACTGCTTTGAGCTCCGACTCACTCTTCATTCCTTGCCTCGAGTGTCGATCAGAATGGTTATTTTCTCGAACTGTTCAACATAATCGTGACCTCGGCTAACTCGGATGGATGTCAAGAAAAGAAGTCTTCCAGCATGAATGGAATGTATATGAATGTGTATATATACATACACGTGCATGACAATTGTTTAAATTGGCATCTTGCATCTCCGTGTGCAAGTTCTCTGACAGTCCCGGACACTTTTTCATCGTAGACACGTTGAATTGCCCGACACTACGCGTCACCTGGTGTGAAATCTGCTGCCGTGGAATCTCTCACTTTTTCTTTCCTTGGGAATCGTTTCACCTGTAGAAACAATAAAGCCTTTTAGTGTGTCTTTGAAGCTTCTTAATAACTAACAACAGTGAAAGTTAACCATCAAAATACCCCTGCAGGCCCTGCACGTCCCCTGCTCTTCGTCATTCGGCACCAAAACATCCCAAAACGACTGGCGTAATGAGCACAGGGCCCAAAGCCTTTAAAAGCTTGTGCCAACATCGCCATGTACCACTACCATGTGATTGGTAGGTGATGATAAGCTTTTCGGATGTGTGACTCAAAACATCCATCAGCATCCATCAGCTTGTTCTCGTTTGCACTTCGAGCAACGTGGCACCACCTCTTCTATGGCGCAGCACAGTGCCTGCAAAGAGCCCAAGACAGTCAGCAACTGAGTGAAGTGCAGTCTGATTGGCAGTGGAGCCACACAGTTCCAGTCGAGATGAACACTAATGCACCACCCTTGGTTCAGTTGAAACAACACAGCGGCAGCTCCAACAACATCCAACAACAGCAGCACGACATGGCGCAACACTATGTTCATGATTGTTCATGTGCGTTCATAGACTGGCATGCCATTCCACACTGTTCCTATGTGCTAGTATTAATTGATTGGGTTTGGTTTGTTCATGTTTGTTCTGCGTGGTGTAGAGCGAGTCGAAGCGGTTGCAAACACCAGAGGTACGCCAGTCGGCTCAAAAAGCGGTCCTCTCCTCAACCCTCCCTGAGTTCCTGCTCCAGGCCTAGCCTTAAAGTATAGCTCGGTAGGCTTTTGGCAGTCTGTGCGCGCCATCTGCCTCGAAGCTACGCTCTAAGCATCTTTCAGCTCGCAACCGACGCATCGGAATTGGTTTCAAGGTGTGCAGCCTTAACCTTCCTAGGTAAGGACTATGAGACCACATGCCCACTATATTTACTGATCATATTGGTCCTCAGGTGCACGACCATTTGCTTTGGCGCCTAACGGTTAATGTTTTGTGTGGGGCACAAACAGAAACAGTCAACAACAAAGTGTTTGACTTTTTGAACAAAATGCTGCTACATCAATGAAGTACACTCGAACCCAATTTCGCTTCTTGGCGACTGTCAAATCCTGATGCTAGCCCAAGGCCTTGCTGGCACCAATATATAGAGGGTTGGTTCAAAATGGTTCAAGCACCATACCATGACCAGAAGTGCGCAGCCCTCTCACTCCAAGTCACAGAAAAATGGCTGCCGAACCATCCTTGGCCACAAAGTGGCCGCGACTGATCCACTCCGGAAGTTCATCCCGCGCCTGTCGAAAAAGCCGATTTCGAAACGAAATGATAGGAACTGAGGGCCCTGGAGGCACAAAGTAGACAGGAACTTACTGATCTTTGCAGTAACAAGAAGCTACTAGGTGGAGGCCATCGCTAGTAGGTTGGAGGCCATCACTACTAGTAACAAGTAACAAGGGCATCTTTATTAGAGGCCAAAGCTGCACCAAATGCGAAACACGGCCCCAGCCTCTTCCAGCTCCTCGGCTTTGCTTAGGTTTCGCCAGGCCAGGTGGTTCTCGTAGGCTTTAATGGCCTCAGGCCACCAAGAGCATCGGCAACTCAACTCGCCCCATTCCAAACACACCTACTTACTTGCAAAGGTCGAACCCAATCGATGCGTAGATTCTGGATGGTGGAACAAACGAAAACACGCAAAGGTTTCAATTGGAGCAAGCGACGGAAACCGATGATGAGGGAACAGTGAACACGGGCAACAGAAATTGTATGCGTACTCTCTCATGATCTGCCGTAGGCGCGCTCCAGCCGAGCAAATCGGAAAATTGCCATGTTTATTGGCAAAAAAAGTAAGACCACAAAGCCTGGGATCCTCTCTCTGGGGTCACTATAATCGTTATGGCGTCATGTCGTCATGTCACGTCTGACCTCATGTTCTCGCAGGGAGGTCGACTCAGTGGGCGTGAAAGAATGAAGTTGCACGATCAAATCCATCGATGCCCACTGGCGACCCCTGATAGGAGCGCCAAACCTTTGCAAACTGCAGTTGGTGCCATCTTCGCAAAAACCGTTAATTCATTAAGTACATACATCTTGTTTACCTTTACGAGTGCCATTGTGCCATTGTTTCTTCTCGTCAATTTGTTGTTGTTGCTCTGTTCTGTCAGCCCGCTTTCAACTACTTCTTCCCCATCTCCCACATCGAGGCCTTCACCCCAAACACTGCGACCCAGGCACTGCGTTGGGCTTCGGCCAGCCGTCGGCGAAGCGTCGAAGCTCTGACTTCGGAGAGTCGGGGAAGGACTTCTGCAGCATGGACCAGCTGCTGGGCCCCTGCGCATCCGGCCACCCACTTATTGCCGAATTGCAACGGATGCGGCGAATGACAATCACACGGACAATCACAAATGAAGATGACAATCACAGTGTAAACATTGTAAGCATTGAGGGCACTGGAGGCGGGATGTGAAGATGAGGGCCTAACAAGTGTTAAAGACAGAAATATATCATATGAGCCATGGACCAAATCTCTGGCTGGAGTGACCTCTGGATGGTCAAGGTTTACCCTTTGTAAACCAACCAGGGGGGGCCGATCCAACTCATAGATCCAACCTTTCTAGTTGACCAAGTCCGTTGGGAGATCTCGGCCTCTACGTTGGACGTCTCCTCGGGCTTGTTCTTCTCATCGAGCAGTTGGAGGTCTGTGGAGTTGGACCCCTGGGCGCCCATCTGATGAGACTGACTGGGTTGCTGAGACTTGATCCGTTGAGGCTCCGGGAGGCTCCGCAACGTGAGCTCCTCATGACCGCCTTTCAAGCCGGGAGGTTTTAAAGTTCCGGCGCCCCAAATAGCTTCCCACCACTATATACGGAGGTGCACGCTCTTTGAGAAGCCTGTGGCTCCCATTGATCTCTCTACCGAATTACGAGACCAAGTCAGTGAGAGCCTACCACAGACTCCTTCTTTGCCCAGGCGCCACTGGGACGACCCCTGGCAGCTTCAACTCTTCAGGGCAGCTCTTCGGTTTCGGCGATCGCTGCGGTCGCCTCAGCCACGATCGAGCCGGAACCCACCAGCCAATCAACCTCCCCTGATTCAGTAGAAACCTCAAACCGAACGCTGGCCGCAAATCATCCAAATGATCCTTGACATTCCATGACCATCCAGCGTTCGGCCCAGGCACTTGATGACCATCCATCGCTTTCCGAAGACCAAGTGAACCTCCGAGACACCCAGGAAACAGCCGCAGCACACCGATGGCATGGCGTGCAGCTGAGGAAAATGCTACAGCTATTGCTGTCTGAAGCCACTCCACCATGTAACCCGACTAAGGACTTAGGTCCTAAGATGGTCACCTAAGACTCCACCTAAGCAACTTCCCTCCACCTGATGGTCCTTAATTCGGTCCTTGGGAGTTTTTTGGAAAGTTCTTATCCGGCTACACTCTGACTCACTCACTAATTAACATGGAAGTGGAAGATGGTCCCGTGGAAGACTACTGTCCTTTATGAACAGGGGCATTCCCACTTCCATGAGTTGGGGGATATCTGAAATATTTCAAGCTTTCAGGGCATCCCTCTACCTCTTCCCAGGTCAGTCACATGACCGGATGACGAACAGGATGTGTCCCCTCAAAAAGGTCAACTTGGTCTTTGTCTGTGAACTCTTCAACTTGTCTCAGGCCACAAGCAGGCCCGGTCCAGATCTGTGAGCCAAACCAGCCCGGCGGAACTCCTGGGGAACTTGGAGTGAATGAATCACTGATCGGAGCATGGCAAAATGGAAGCAGTGCCATGCGGATGGCTTCACTTCCTACAGAGAACTACAGCACCACTTTGCAAACGGTTACACTCGCCTCTGAACCATTGAAATCCACCGCCTCTCTGTTGGGTATTCAAGGCCTTCACTCATTTTCACTCAACCTCTGTAAGCTATGGTGGCTCCTTCGGTGGTCGCCTGAGGCTTGATTTTCACATGACCTGCGGAGCACACAAAGCCCCACCAGCCTGGCAGGGGCGGTGGCTTTTCTGGCTGCGGAATCTTGACCTCATGGCGATGGCGAGGAGATGCGAGAATGAGCATGTTGGAAATGCATGTTGCTTCAAGAGCTTCTACAGTCAAACTCTATCGAGTCCTAACATATTTCAAGTGGATTGATTGGACCCTCAAGTCTGTCTTTGCAATACCATTCCAGGTTTGAGGCTAGTTCTTGGAGGAATCAACATCTTGCATGCGATTGCACGTGTTGGATTCGAGCTCTTTCTCAAATCACCTGCTCCACTGCGGGTGCACGCCTGGGCTTCTGATGTGCCTGCATCGCTGATCAGATCATCCTCGGCTGCTCAGCAGTCAGTAGCGGGCTCATTGCTCCTGTATTAGGTCTGTCATGTGCATAAACATGAGTGTGGGCACATGGAATTAGATATTCTGGGCATATGAGTCATGGCATGGATACAAACATTTATATATGTTGCCAGATTCACTCATGACTGGATCGACTTCTTCACTCCTTCAGCCAAGGCTCCACTCGTAAGGTGCCAGCCTCCGGCAGGCTCTGAAGCATGCCACCGAAAATGTAGCCTGCCGGGCACACGAGATGAGTCTCGTGTCGGGTAGGAGGATATCGGGTCTATGGAGAGTCTCGAGCATCTGACGCCGATGTGACGAGCCTCGAGCATCGGGACACCAAAACCCTAAAGAATGTCACCATGCCGTGCTGGTAAGCCAACCGCAGCTGTTCAGGGCACCAAGACTATTGTGGACTCATGACAATGGATCAGTTTCTCTGGCACTGTTGATAGAAGAAATCCTGCACCACATCGAAGCCTCAAAACAACGTGCAGGGTTCTTCAATCAAGGGATCAGGGGGTGTAGTGTAATCTTGGCGTTCCCCTAATCTGCAATGGCTCTTGGAAGACAATGAAAAACATGTTCGGGGCCTGGGTGTTCTTTTGGCAGATGACTCCTCTTGCACCTCTAGACACTTTCCAAACATCTCTCGACCAAGAAACGGATCTGCCGTCGCACACGGCGAAGTTCCTCCACCTCAGTGGCAATGACCATGACAATCCATGATGGAAGTGATACACGATGAAATACATATACAGTATACATACAAACCCCACCGTCTCCCAACGAGATGTGGAAAAGATAGGAAAATTCATACTGAACGGAAGGGTTCATTGTATCATCATTAGTTAGTAACTTATCGGTAGTACAGTAACTCGGCAACTCTCTACAAAGACCCAAGCTGGCAAAACAGGGGGTACCTATTACTGACTCTCGTGCTCGTCTCACACAGTGCCCAAACGAAACACCCAGGTCTCGCCTCCTTTGCTGATTCCTCCGGATCTGTCCACTCCTCTGCGTCTGTGGTTCGACCCGTGCGATGGCTCCTCAGTTTGAGCGGGCGGGGCGTAAAAGACATACGCATGAAACACAAAGGAAAAAAGGCATCCATTTAATGCATGTTCTATTTCACACTAACTTGGGGCGTTCAAACTGAGCCTTCCCTGGCCCATCTTTCTTGCTCTGAGCACAACAATCAAATGAATCAACACAAGCCAAAACCCTGCTCAAACTATGAATGTTGATCCCAGTGCACAGTTGAGGCCGCCGAGGCCCTCACGCGAGTTGTCTGCCAATATCTCGAACCTTGGGAATACTCTTCTACTCACCAGGCTGGACATTGTTAAACTCGTTCTTGACGTTCTTGGACTGATTTCATTAATTATTAATGCACTTGTTACTAGTAGCTATGCCCTTGCTACTACTGTAGTAGCTTCTTGCTACTAGTAGTGATTATTAGTGCTCATCAAATTGCAAGGAATGAAAACATGTGATGTCTGCCAACGCTCACGAGTAGCAAGGGGTCAGCTCGCGCGTCCTGAGGCCCCAGCACTTTGCAACTCCTCCTCCGTCACTTGGGCACGCGTCTCCTCCGGAGTGCTCAGACACGCCCGAACAAAACGAGGCGCAGTGTCAAGGATGGACACCAGTTACGGCAGGGAGGTACTGTGAACAAATGAATAGATGATTTGTCAAAAGCAAATCGGGTGTTTGTTGCATTGGCAACAGTATAGTGGATAATAGAGGGCCAAAAGAAACGGGCTGGCCGTGCACCGGACACTGGCTACGCTTTGTCCACCAGCACTGATGAGTCAAACGCCCACTCTGCAGGCCCCATTGGCCTCTTCCAGCGTCCCCCTCGGTGCGTGATTCACGGGTCAGCGCTGGAATCCGTGGAGATATGAAGATCAGTTTGTTGCGTTACCCAAAACTACTCAAGGGTCAAGGGCAAAAGGAATTCATACCCCAGCCAATCCTTCCATGTACTGTGGATGCATAAGGAGGAGTGTTCTTTCTGTAGTCACTAGTCACCCGTCTAGAGTGTCTCTGTGGATTGGTGATTGAATCCTTTCTGCTGTTCTGCTTGGCCTCAGGGTCAGCAACTTGGCCGACTGCTAGCTCGGCAGTGTCTCTGACTCCGACGCTCCCGACCGCCACATGATGGAGAATTGCTAAATGATGTCATAACTCATGATATACTGCATGATACTGTATATGTACTTATTAACTTATTAATACTTCAGAATATTCAGACATATGTACAATAGTAAAACGGTTTTACTGTATATAACGGACTTTATCAGAATGGTGCTCAGTCTGGACTCCTGGACTCAAGAAATCGACCTGCTTTCAACAACGGCACCCTGGGCCACCCAAGCGGAAGAGGTGGCACAGGTGGCTCAGCTGCACCTCAGAAAGACATCGAAAGAGACGTACCGCTTAAGCCGCGAGCGAGATCCTTCGAGAACCCGTCGGGTCGACCAGGTCGAACAGTTGCGGAGCCCTGGGTTCAAGTGAAGCATCCAAACCACCCAAGGCCAGGGCCGTCCATGAACGTCCTGAGCTCCTGCACGTGGAGGTTCATCTTCTGAGCCCTGGCATCCCCGGTGACGATGCAAACAGTGAATGCCATGGTTTGAGCTTCACCCAAGCTGCTGCTTTAGCTTCAGATGTCTCACAAATCAACCTTGTAACCGCAAGGGATATCCATGAACATACCCTCACGAACACAAGCACGCATTCAAATGAGACCTCCTGATGTGTCGAGGCTTTAACAGGTTCCCAGTTCCCAAGATGTCGAGCAAGAAAAATTAGGAGGGGAGACTGTGGCCCAGGAACTTCTATCTTCTTCGGCTTATCGCAAAGACCAATCCAAGCATGGAACATGGGTCTTCGCCGTCACCGATGTTTTGCACCCCTAGATGTGCATGTTTGACATGTTTCACGCACTTTGGACATGCCGAGGTGTGCCAATCTTCGAGTGCTGAGCGCAATGACGGATCGGGAATGGCCTGGCGTGCATGCGTGGGGTAGTTTGAAGAAGGGGCGAAGGTGGAGCCTGAATTTCGGGATAGATATAGTATGCAACAGTTTTCCAAGCCTTGTCAGAAAGGCTGAACAAGGCCATCCCAAAAACGATTGGCGATGTGGAAGGTCTATGTACAGAAGCAAAAACCAAAAGGGACAAGTAAGAACGATGCATAATGACGACCATAGACAGATTTCTAGGCCTGTGCTTTTCAGGACGCGCCGACCATAACTGGGTTCATCGCGGAGATCATGTCTGGCATATATATATATATATGCATCGTATATTCGTATATATATATATATCAGATATAATATATAGATCTCAAACCCCCAAAAAGTCTTCTGCCCACATGCTTTGGGTTGAAGGAACCGCCCAGGCCCAGGCCCAATCCTCCAAGCCGCTCTGAAAGTCGCCGATGACACCTGAATGAAGGCGTGTCTGACGCCCAAAGCTACAGCTGGCGGATCTGGGGCTGAGCATCTCATAGTAAATCAGAGGGAAAAGTTCCTCAACAGCACACAATTGAAGGTCAGCCAAGGGCAAAATGTGTTAGTCCCAACTGATCAACCAAAAGAAGTCTCTTCCCTTTGGTCCGTCTGTCAGAGCAAAAGCCACTGAAGAGGTTGAGATCATAGCATATGTGTGTGTGCATGTTTTGCCCAGTCTGCGCACTTGCCAAAACCAAAATCAATGGTTTGGATCTCTGGACTCAATCATACTCAATCGAATCGTTTCTGCATGCATTGTCACATGGATACCTCGCTCAGGGACTTTTGGCAGTTGCTCAGCAGGGACTCTCGCCGAGTTCTCTCGCCGAGTTCCGCAACCAGTTCCCCTTCCCCCCACCGCAGCAGCGCCATGCTGCGCATAGCTTGCTGCTGGGCCGCTTCGCGGCTGGGCCCGGCCCGGCCGATTTCCCAAAATCCAAGAGGGTTGAAGAAGCTTCAAAAGCATGACAAGCTGTCGCGTCCTTGGAGTCGGTGGATCCTCCATGCTTCACTTCTGTCTCAACCCTTCCCAGCTCAAGCGGGGCGTCTACCTCTCAGGGCCCACAAGTCCGATGTTAAACAAAGTCTAAAAGGATGTCGCTCAAGCGATCAGGTGCATGATGTCAAGCTATCTCATCTGGAAGCCCTGTGAGAGTTGATCTCTACGCGGAAGGTTTCAGCCATCTGCTTCGGGCTCTCAGCTCTAGAAATGCCTCAGTGCCGAAGCCCACCGGCCCGTGGGCCCGTGGGAGTCCACATGTTGTAATCTTTAGACCTGTTCAACCCACTCCCAAGTTGACAGTGGAAAAGCGTGTCTTCTTGGTAGCTTACTTGCAGCCCTAAGACTCCAGTTTGCAGCTCTCTTGGTGGCATGGTCAGCCCAACTCTAACTCATCTTAAGTTAGTGACTTTCGGAACTGCAGGTGGCCTTCATTGCAGTTGAGTCCCAAATCTCAAGGAGTTGAAGTCATATAGGGGATCATAATCAAGTATAGATCTCCGATGATCTTCCGGCAGGCTGTCAACCCAATATCATGCACATGTGCAATGTTGGCATAAACCATGTCAAAAGGCTATCAATGGAGACGTGTTGTGTGTCCCTTCAGGTGAATATTACAGTACATATATCATATTTCTATTATAGCAGCCCAGGGCCGTAGACAGAAACGGTCCCAAAGTCTGTGTCCGTGTCCTCGAATCCGTTCTTTCCATCTCTAGGACTCTAGGGGCCACGGTCGGGTCGGGTCAAAACACCTCGATCACCTTCGATCCTCTCTTTGATTCCCAAGCAGCCCCGCGAGATGGGCAACAAAATGCCCAGCCCGTCACTGCGAAGTCCGGCACTCAAGGCCTTGGGCAGGTCGCCACCCTGAGCACCGATGCCCGGGGAGAGGAACCACACATCCTTAGATCGCAGAATCAAGTGCCATACTGGGCAGAATCTCAGAATATCTCAGAAGCGTAAAAGCCTGCTCATTATTTCTCCTTGCTCTGGACCACCGGATCTGCTGTTGAGAACTGATTCGTCATCCCTAAACGGTCGTGCACGCCCAGTTTCTTTCGGTCGAAGTTGGGACCGCCCAGACAGGAGGCCAATACAACCCCATGACGAACACATTTTAGATACAGTAACAAAATTGGGCATCATGTGATAGGCTAGGTATGCCACCGTGCCTCTGAAATGATATATATTATATATATATATATCTGTGTGTGTGTGTTCTGAACAGGAGTGCGGTGTCAGGCTATCTCCATCAGCGGATGTCGCCAAGGGCGTTGACCAAAGCAGGGCCCTTATGTGCCATTCACTTGCCACTAGTATCCACTAGTTATATAAGGAGATATGCAGGGATTTGTGGCTCTGGCACTAGGCCAAAGTGTTGAGTTCGGCCCCAGGGTCTGGTAGCGCACTTCGAATCTTCTGCATGGCCTCCACATCTGTGGCTCCCACCTGAGCGAGGCCACACAGCTGCACCCGTCAGCATGGAGTGAATGCGCATGGCTTGGAGCCGGTTGCGCGCCGACTAACACTGGCATGATTTCTCGTGGCTCCGTCGACCACACAGTAAGAAGCGCTTTTGAACATGCCCAAATACAGTGTCCCAAATTTCCCGGTGGCACAGTCTCTGTAGCACAACCCAAGGTGCCACCAGCCCAGCATTCTGATGCTCTTTGGCCCACGTTCCACAGCAAAGCTTGGCAACATGAAGATACCTCGGCACGGCGGTGTGGCTGAGTCCCCTTTGGAGTTGTGCTACCCAGCTGGTTGGAAGTGCTTGGAATTTCAGAGTGAAGAAGCTGTTCAATTTGCTCAGATCTGTTCGTTCGTTGATATTTAATTATATACGGTGTGTGTGTGTGTATGTGTTGAGATCACTTGACTTGCCGTGCCCGTCTTTACAGAACCAGGATCGTTACAGGCTGCCACAGTCCTAGTAGTCTTGCCACTGATTTTGGTCAACCGTCCTGTGCAAGAACCACCTGCGATTGGGCATCACGCCCGACAAGGTACAAAGGCTCACCATTTGGCAGCTCCAAAGCTTGGACATCTTGAGAGCCTGGCAAGCACAGGCGCCAGACGCAACTGGAATGGATGCATGATGCATTGGCGGCCCCGAAAACCAGGCCAAAGAAATCAATGCTGATTCCTTCGCAGGACCTTGTTGCACTCTTCAAAAGTCCGGGTTCATCGCTTATTCTGGGCTTCTGCCAGTCTGCAGCGCCTGGATTCGATGTCTTGCACAGGACCCAGACCCCTCTGGATGCATCCTTTAGAAAAGGCTGCAAGCCATCACCACCTGCAGGCATGGGTCATGAAAGCCTATTCTACAAAATATGCCAAGTTGAAGGGAATTGATGTCTGTTCTAAACACATCATACAAATGTGTCTGCTCCGCACAAAGTTGGGGTTCGGGGTGCCCCTTGGAGCTGTGTCAAAGTTTAAAGCAGCTTATATAATTAGTCTAAATCAAGCTCAACCGATGAACAGTCACACTGTGTCGGGGGTGATAGGTAGAATAGTTTTGCGTATGCACCCTATGAGTACTCACAGTTGCTAAACATGTTTAATCTATTTGATATGATCTCTTCACCTTGTATCCATTCTTTTCCTGCAAGTTCTCTCCTTTCCCACCTAGGTAGGGGCTTGCGGTCACGCTATCGCAGCGCAGGGTCTGGAAAGCGCTGCTGGCATAGGCTTCGCTGGTGGAGCCGATATCGCCGCGCTTCGCGTCCAGGACGATCCTCGCTTCGATCGGCGATCGCTCGCACGGCGAGGGCCAAAGAGCGGTGATGGGCCGGGGGGAACTCCGACGTCGAGGCCAGAGGCCGAAATCCCACGCGGCCAGGAGAGGCGAGTTTTCACTTGCGGGGGTGTGAAGAAGGGGGGAAATCACACAGAGCTTCAAGTCGCATCAAAAAGTGACTCAAGTCTGCCTTTACACTTGAGATCCTCTGCGGGCAAGCAAACAGTTGGCTGAAAACGAGTTTGTGTCCTGAATGATAGTCAGAGAAGGGGTATGCTGGACGTGTGTGCAATCCATGTGCATATTTAATGCGTATTGTCATGCATATTGTAATATAGAACAATGTAATATAGTATGGCAAATACAATACAATACAATGCAATACAACACAACACCATACAATAATACGATATAAATGTACATGTTTGCTCGCCCCTTTATGCAGCCCCTGCAGCAATGGAACCCAGAGCAGGGCACAAAAAAAAAACGAAAAAAACAATCCTCGATGGCCACGGTTTCTAGACAGTCCCATCCACTTCTCCGTCAAAGGGCGGGATCTCTGCTGGGATCAACTGCAAGGTTCGCTGCAAAGCCTCCCAACCAGCAGCGCCATAGACCTCAAAGAAGGCTGCATTGGGCTTGAAGGCAGCGGCATGGTCCTTGGTCTCCTGGATACTTTTTGGTGGATCAGGCAGTTCTTAACCAGTGACTGGTCCCTGCAATTGCTCATAGTGAACAACCGGTGAACAGTACTGAATACACATTCCATCACGTTACCGTTTCTTTCCCCCACCACCCATGCAAACCCAAGCCCTGTCCTCGATAATGCGTTGACAGAAGCGAAAGGCGCCTTCCGCCGAATCTTCCTCCAGTTCTGACTTGTGGGGATCCAGGCCAACACATAGCAGGGAATCCTGAGATGCAAAATCAGCCAACAGGCTGGCTCTCTTCTTGGACTTCAAGCCCCATGACGTCACACAGAAATGCAGCATGTCCATAAGATCAAACAAGAATATAGATCAATGATGATCAATGTCAATTCAGCATGGTTCTTGGTAGGCACAAGCTTATAGACCATCTTGCGGCATTGCACCCTAGCCTTGCACCAACAAGGCTAGAGCCCTCAACCCCGCACTGCTACCTGGTACTAAGACTAAGTTGCCACTTCCTTCACACGCTTGGTCAGCTTCTCAAAAAAACTCATGGCACCCGCACGTGCCGTGGCACGAAAGCTTCACAGCCGCTAGCGTGCCGTGGTTTGGGCCGAAAGGCCAAGAGAGGACCAGAGCCAAATGATGCGCCACTACAAGCAGGTGGCAGCACATGCCTGGCCTTGAGTGCGCCTTCCTTTGAACCTACCATGAGGGCATCATCTCCAGATAATCAAGTGTCTTGTCCGATCTTTTCAATACCGGAGCTACCGTGCGGAGGCCTTCCACTCCTTTGCTGAGACGGTCAACGGCCTTGGACACATGTGCCAGAGCACTGTGACACCCTGCCAAGGGGTGGCAGCCGTTGTAAGTATGAGCGGGGTTCTTCTGTCTAGCCAACTCGCAAGAAAAAAATTGAAGAAAACAAACACATGAAAAATTTATATATATTATATATATAATAGGAATACATCTATATGTGTATATATATATACACACAACGACAAGTTACTTTCCATGGCGGGTCCTTCAAAGCCCGTTACTGTACAAGTCTGAGCTCCCGACAGACTTTGCGGCGTCATCCTGGCAGCCGCACTCCGTCCAAAAAACAAATCTGAACCAGAAAACCACGCAAAGAATCTATCCCCACCTTGGGCTCTTCCTCTCCAGGAGGTTTCGGATCATCTGTCTTCCCTCCATCACCGACTTTGTCGGTCTCTGGCTTAGCTTCCCCAGTGCCGGTGTCATCTACCTTATCTTCAGCGGCTGGTGTTTCCGCTGGGCCATCTGCTGGTGCTGCAGGGGCACCAGGCTCTGCAGGATCCACAGGCGTCTCAGCGGAACCCGCAGGGGCTGCAGGCGCGCTGGGGTCTGCACTGGCGTCTGCGGAAACATCACCACCACTAGCCGGTGCTTCTGCAGGTGCTGCAGGGGCCGCAGGATCAGCCGCGCCGTCCGCAGGGGTCTCTGCTGGAGCTGCTGGCGCGCCGTCGGCCGCGCTTTCGGTGGCAGCTCCCTCAGCAGGTGCCGCAGCTGCTCCTGCAACAAAAGAAACAAAAAGCTGAGGCATATTGAGGCTATGGCTAAGGATTCCGTCGGATGGCTATGAGACGGCAAACGTGACGTGCTGGTCGCTTTCACGCCTTCCGAGCAAGCCCTTTTGCGGTCCTGCGCCTTCAGCGCCAGTGGCTGCCCCGTCTGCAGGTACACCTAGGCTAGAGACCTATTGGCTGGAGGCCTGCACAAAAAATGGAGCTCGAAACTCACTCACCTCACCTTCCTGCCAACCAGCAGGATGACTTGTGCTTTCTACGCTGGGCCTCCCGCAGCCCATTTTAGCCGAAATCACTTGGGAGGGAAGGGACTTAAAGTGGGGTCCTTTGCCTCAAAGACCGAACGTCGCCCAGCGGCTGATGGGGATGTCTATCTCCGTCTCTTTGCCATCGGTCCTTAGGGCGTCGGCGTCTCACACGCACCCCGCGGGAGGTCAAACACCGCGCGCTTCGTCGGCCGCTGGGATGCCCGGCTTTGCAGCGCCGCCCTGCAGGGGTGGGAAGAAGAGTTTCCGGGGCAGGTGGGGGTGTTGACCATGTAAGATCCAAGGGGGCAATGACCTGCATATACCTGCATGGTCATATTACAGAACACTGGCCACCTGACCACTGCAGGGGAAAAAACAGAAAACGTAACATAACAATCATTATAATAACCATTAATAACCTATAGGTTAAGAAGCTGCATGCCACATGAAAGGTGCACAGAATCACAAGGTAACATGTTTGAATCATTGCAAATCGCCATGACAATACGCATCGAGCCGTATCGAGGTACGGTTCGGCCCCGGTTGACAAAGGCACCTAGAAACCCTGGCCTGGCCTCATCAGTCATGGCGACTGCTTTCTCAAATTCTTGGGCGATGCTGGAGCCCGAACAGACAGCCGGCACGGCACAGTAGATGTTCCACACAAAAAGTTCTCTGACTGAAGAAGCTCACCAAACCACCGGTACCAGTGGTCCAGGTCCAGGCTTCACCTTTAAAGTCATGAAAAATGTCATGGATGCATGGAGCCACCTTTTCCTTCGCTCCTCAGGTGCTGTATCTCCCCAATTGGCTGGTGCCGTGCGCAGAGGACGGCCCATTGATTTCATGCCTTCACCAGGCACCAGCCAGCTGGGCAATCAGGCTCTGCAGGGGTGCTGTGTCAAGCCTGTTCCATAGCCACCAGCGGCCACCAACAGCACCCTTGCTGCTCTTTGAGAAGCATTTCTCAAACGCCTGCGAAAAACGTGTCCGACCAGGCTGGTCTTCCACTCAGGCGTCCACCAGGCTCTTGCCTAAATACTGCAAACCATAAATCCCCTGGACTTCACGGTCCAGGTAAGGCACTCGGATCACCTGTCGCAAAAGGCTGCCAGTCAGTCCATCAGGACTCTCCATCTATCGAACTGCCCAAACGACATGGTGTCGGGGGCAACAGATTAACAGATTGTCCAAACCGTGCAAACAACACGGAACATCTGAGAAGGGAAACATCATCTGTGGCGGCACTTTGTCTTGGTCACAGTCTGCCAAATCTGAACCGAGAGCCTCCATCCCTTCTCGTTTGGCAAGAGCTTCCAGTGCCTCCAGCGCCACCTCGAAAGGAAACCGGTGCTATTCTCTGTCAATAAGGTGATAGAGTGCCACTGACTTGGGGTAGAACTGCAGATCCCTGGGTGCTGCAGGCAGCTCATGCCAAAAATTAATCCGATCCTACTGCCCCATGCCATGATTCCCGCCTGCTGGGTTTTCTGCTGGCTAGCTGCTCGTTGACCAACCTGGATCAAGAGGAATTGGGCCATTGTCTCTCGGCACTTCAAATCTTGAGTCCATCAGTATCAGCAAATTCTGACTGATGCGTGTGTTAGCCATGATGGTGATATCTGGTCCAAATGAGAGCATGGTGGCAAAGAATAATCCAATGACACCTGCTCCATGTCCAGGATGCGATTCGCAATCACCTGGGCAAAAGAGAAGCTTTGTGTTGTTGTGGGGAGGACTTCCATGGGTTTTGTGCACGAATTCTCATCCTTGCCTCAAACGCGCGGGTCACAGCCACTAGCCTACACTGCTCACTAAAATGCTCAATTTCATCAGCACCGATCAAGCTGATCAAGGAGAATATGAGGTTTATGGCCCTCTCAGTGCCCTTCCATGACAACACAACCCGAAACCCCCGGTCAACTGTCCTGCCTTTCCATGTTGAGACACATTCGCACTCTGTTGGCTTCATTTCTGCCCCTCTGCCTGACTCTGCCTTCAGTGCTCAAACCTATTCCACCAGGCCAAGTGGCCAGGCCACAACGGATGTCTTGCTCCTCCAGCTGCTGAAGGAGACGTTTGGTTTCTTCCAGCGCCAAGGTCGTGGGAATCGTCACCACCGAGAACGAGCTCCCTCAGGTCAGGCGGTAGAAAAGCCATTCGTTCGAGACAAACGGCTGAGACCCATCATGCTGGGCTCAAACAATCTCTTCTGCCAAGTGGCGCTCCGGGTCGGTGAAGAGCTCCTGCGAGGCCGCGGGGCAAGCTCGTTGGACGCGCGAATCTTCGGGGACATCAGTGAGTGTCACAGAAAGGCTGCCAATGAGGCGCGCAAACTGACCGAGCATCCAATGTTGGTGTGAAAAAAAGCGTCCTGCAACTCGATCATCCGAAATTGAAAGGATCGGACTTGATCAGGTCCTCCTGGGACAAAGGAACATCGAGAGATGTCGCGGAATGACGTGATCCAATCAGCACCAAAAACAAAGGAAAAGCGACGCTTCTCATTGTTTCTCCTCTTGCGAGATGCGCTTTCCCACAAAGGGAGGACGGTATATCCATGGTCTAACTTGTTCAGAGTGGCCCTTTGAAGGGCTCAGATTCGGCCAAACCTTAGGTGATACACCGATAGCTACAGATCTGCCGCTTTTTGGGGCTGAAGGCATGCCAGCAGTCCAGGCACCCACCTCCCTAACAGTCTCGTTGTCATTGTTGGCCAATTGTTGACTGGCCTTCCTGAACATTTCTGAACGTTACATAGGAGATTATAGTAGACAGGTCGGTTTGATTTTTAGCCAGGAGGAGTGCGCATGGCCACATGGCTGCCAAACTAACAAGCCGTCTGCTGGCGGAGCCTCCGATCCTTCTATGCACTTGGACTGACGAGTGGGAGTATGTCATGGGTCCTTGTTTCGGATCCACCTTCAGCAGATCATTGTGCCATCAGATTTGGCTAAATGCAAGCCACCCCGACCTTTCCGCAATTGCGTCACATCATACGCGAGGACCTTGCAGGAAGGGTACAGCAAATCGATTGCCATCAACAGCGGCGATTCAAAACGAACACTTCGAGCAATCGATGTGTTAGAGGCATGAGCTGCGTCATGACTTCCCCGGCCTCCCCACCCATGCGCTTGGCAAAGGCCAGACCCTCCGGCAACTGCTTGGCCAACTCCCAGGGCTGCAGCGGGCGCCCCACATCGAAGACCATGGGCGACTCCGGGTCGGAGCCCTGGCTGCGGGGCCTCAGCACCAGGCCCAGGACCTGTGCGCGGACCACTAAAGCCGCTGTTCGGCCTCGTCTCTTGAAAGCAGCTATATAGAGCAGCTAAATCTTGGAATGTTCAGTTGCTTGCCAGGCTGATGGATTACATACAGCATCATGCAGTCGGAACAGGATTTGAGAAGCCCAACAAATTGTTTTGCTCTGTAATGCATTCTAATTTGTTTAAAGGTAAAGCTGGTACTGTTCGCATGTCCCGGCAATTTTTGACAGCATGTGGTGCAACATGCTGGGATAGGTTTTCTATATTTTCTATGCCCTGCATTGCCTGGGTGTGCCCATGGCTCTTCACTGAATACTAACCGCCTGCATATATCCAAATGGCAGAGCGTTCCAAACAACTTACTGTTCTGATCAGCACCGCTAGGTCAAACCGCGCCACGTCTCCCGCCTCTCCCGTGAAGGAGACCAAGAGCAGTCCAGCATCCAGCATCCCACTTCGCCTCGCTGCCAGGGACATCTCCTGGCACAAGGCCTTGCTCTCAAAGACAGAGCTTCCAGCCAACTCCAAGGTTCCTGCAGCGTTCCAACCATGAACAGCCCGTCGGGCTGCCCCGGTGCGATGCGCAACGAACAGGTCGGTTTGACGCGAATCCAGGCGGGGGCAAACAAAAACTGGTCAGTGGAGAGAGGGCACACTGCCCAAAAAATCCAAATGCACTGAACAAACAAGGATGGGAGCATTATGGTTGCAAATCGTCATGAAAAGAGCTACTGTAATTCCTCTTTTCACGGGCCTGTGGGGCTAAAAGCAGCCGCACTGGAAGCAATGATTTCAAGCTCATCCTCATGTGCCAGCAACGCCATGGCCGTCGCCCCATTGAGCTCGTCCACGAAAAGGGTCAGCAGCCCGGCGAGCGCGGCCAAGCGAATCTCCAACTCGTCCTGAGCGACTTCCAGCGACTTCGGTGGCAACTGAGCCATCACGTCACGCGTCACGTGCCGCTCGGCGGAGCCAGTTCCGCGGCCCAGAGAGGGTCACAAGACTCCCCGTGCTGCGTTGGCAGGAGACCTTTATACACCAAATTGGGACCAAACAAATTGGGGTTGCCATAGGTGGCAACCTCCAGGGCAGAAACCATCATCACAAGGCCTTCTCATTGGCTGCAGTTGGCATCGTAGGGGTCGTAGGGGGTCCCAAAATGCTTCTCTAGGATGCCATGCCATGCCCGCACTCCTTTCGTCCCAGATGCCATGCCCAGCTCTTGGGCCTCTGCCGCCAGTCCAACAGCCAAGGCCTTTGCAAAGTCTTCCCGGTCGACCGTGTCCAGCGCGGGCTCCGGCATCGGTCTCGGGAGCGCCTTGAAGTTCACGATGCCGGGTCTTCGAAGCTCTCCATCCAAACGGTTGGGGAAGCGTTCGGCGCTGTTTCCTCGGACGAAGAGAACCCCCAAAGGCCGGGCCAGAGGACGAGGGTTCCACGAAGCAAAGCTTAAGATGCTTTAGCCAGAGGGTGCTGAAAGCATGAGGTTCCCAGCGGTTGTTGGCCTTGCAACCTCTGCTGAACGCATGGAGTTGCAATTTCTGGGGCGAGAGCTGGCTGTAAATTGATATGTGATGGCCCCTACCTTAGACCCCCCCCCTATCTCCACATACCTAGGAATAATTAGCAATTATTCCTGGGGCCTTGAACATAGTTTCAGGATAATTATTCCAGATGTGCACCTGATGCAGGAATATTTTCTGTCATTAGAAATATCAACTCGTGGAACAGATCCAAGACAGATCAACACAGGCTCGAAAAGCTTCGATAGTAGCTTCGATTATGTAAATTATTCCAGGGATAGTTGGCATGAAATTATTCCTCCTGAGTCTCAGCATCAAGAGACCCCCTTTAGGATTATTTAAATAAATATTCTACCGTCTAATTATTCCACAAAAAATATTCCACTATGTGACATGCCCCCCTGGAATAAATATTTAAGGGAGGGCCCATGATATGTGGATATATTTGGTGAGTGTCTAGACTCATGCTGTCATACTGTTTATATACCTGAGGCGTATCTGACCATCGAAGCGATTCGAAACGCCTAACATGGATGCCTCCAAGCTTCGGCACACGCCGCCGAGGAAACGTGCCAGCGACGCCCAGGACTTCCCCGCCATCTCCTCGCCGTTGGTGAGCTCGTCCGACCATCGGTCGGGCATGTTCGCCCGACATCTCCTCGCGTGGAGGTCCGAAAGACATCGAGCCGATGCTGGGAGACAAACGCTGACAAAAGACATCTCGGGTCGGGGCGTGTTTTCTTTTGGGGCGGGGGATCCGCAAGCAGGGTGTGAACAGCTGGCTGTTTCGACCTTAAGTCACTCACGGGAGGACCCCCTAGATGCTCCAAAAATAGAAAAGGCACCACGGCATTCAGTCCAGTGGCTGCGAAAGTCTGTATTCCTGGCCCTCCCTTAAAATGATGGGCTCCATCAATGGCTCCCATGCATAGAAGCCATCCACTCGGGAGGCTGGACCCACCATGGCTGAGGCTAACAGCTCTTGAGATCCCGCATGCCAGAGCGACACCATGGCGGGCTCGGCCAAGGGTGGCTCTGCTGGGCGGCCCAGTGCGGTGAGCTCGCAATCCTCGGGTGCCGGGGAACTGCTATGAACTATGTAACTCCGGTTCATGGTCACTGGCACTCCTGCTTGCCAAGGCACCATCTCCATGACAAAGCGAAATCCTGCCTGTGGATTGGTGGCACGTGAAATTCTCGGCGTGATGAAACGGAGTGTACATTGAAGATAATTGGACCATAGACATGGACCAAATCACTCGATGCAATGATTACATTGATTACTTTCTACACCTTTCTACTGCATCCATCATTCGGAAGCAGTTGAACTACACAACAGCTCCAATCAGAGTTCCAGCACCCCTCCCACGCTCAACAAGCTCTGCAATTCTACAAACTCCAAAGGCCGTGTCCTCCCCCTCATAGTCGTTGCGACGTCCGGGCCAGCGACCACAGAAGAAGGGCCGCGAGGCGGGATCTTCCCGCAGCACCGCAGGGACCATCGCGCGCGGACTCCGCGCCGCGCCACGCCGAGAGGCATCCCGGGCGCGCTTGGCGCGACTGGAGCGGCCGTCACTGGTCGCCTTGCCAAGTGGATTTTGGACATTTTTGGACAACATTTTCGGAAAAATCTGATAGACTAACTGTCCAAAACCTGCGCTTGATGATGGCTATTGGTCTGTTGGTCTGTTCCTCTGGCAAATTGCACTCGCTGTTGTCGCCGCTACATCTGAGTATACGTATGCCTTTTACGTCTTCAATCATTCCCACAGCAGTTTTTGGCGCTGCTCACCTCGAACTTCTCCGCCTCCGGCACTGCCAACGTGGCCGCCCCGCCAGCCCCGGCATCGTCCGCTTCGGCAGCGGGTGACTTCGGCGACTTAGGCGCCGAACTGGGTCGACCAGCGGCTGCCGGCGCGGCCGGCGCAGGCTCCGGAAGCGACCCAGCTGGCGCTGGTGGGGGACCTAACGCCTTGGGATCCTTGGCAGAACAAATCTTTTCCACCAAGTCACTCAAACACGCACAAACGTCGGCCATGGCGGGAGGGCAGAAAAGCCTACTCAAACTCGGCTCTTGTGATTAGAATCCTCGACTTCAAATCTGACAGGCTCATGGAGTCTACGAACACTGGATGCGGTGTGTATCTATGTTTTACTGAATACCGTGCGGCTCTTAACCATTCTTTCCCGGGCCTCTTTGGCTGCAAAAGTGGCAAGGGCATGGCAAGACCCCACTGACTGTACGGGCACGACTTCATCACCCAAGAGCGCTACCAACGAAAACCAACACCTCGGTCAGCGCGAGCAGTCCTTTGGAACCTGAGAGCCAGCCAAATCGCTCACGAAGGCGGGCCACACGCTCCGCCAAGCGTTCGAGAAAGTCCGGATAGCTAAGAAGACGCACCGCATGACCTGACACTGCTCGCTGTGTTTTTGTTTGGTTCTTGTGCTTCGTGGGAGCGAGCTGCTTAAAGGGCTGTGCTTCCATGACTCATCTAGCAAATCATGGAGGGTTGAACCAAGCCTCGCATCGCATCTGGTAGTTTCAGCATCCTTTTGTCCCCCCGTGTTGAAGGTTAGCATGAACCGGAGCTCCCGGCACATGCATGAGTCTGGCCATTTGTAGGCTGCGCTTCTGGTTTCCATCACAGAAGCAGGAGGCTCATGCACCCTGCAGTAGCAACTTCCATATTCTTTGCAATCCAAATGCCAATGCCAACACTTCTTGTCGTTGCTACTGCCTATGCATTCGTGCCCAAAATGCAAAAGCAACTAAAGCTGCGGGAGCTTGAACACAGGTCCAAGCTTCCTCCCGCCAAAACAGGCATTAAGGTTGAGGATCTCTCCAAGATCAACATCCCAAAATAATCCATGCATGCCAACATCATGGACGCAACACGAAACCTCTCAGCTGAGCCTCTCAACAATCTCAACGTACTCTTGCCATGAGGACACATCCCAGAAGGATTTGCCCTTGCTCTCCCTCACCCACTTCTTATGCATGGCCGCGGAGGTAAAAATGGCAGTCTTGATGTCGGTGATCAGCGAAACACCCGCGTCGATGGTACCGCGCCGCAGCTTGAAGCCATCCGTCATGCCTTGGAACCGACGGGTGGCCATTCGTGCTTCCCAATGCCCCCGATTGGAAGCAGCTGCAGCATCTGACTGTAGGGTTTTGCAGGAGTCATTCTGTGATTCATCCCAAAATCGAGCAGCTTCTGGACAGGAGAAAACTCCATGTATAGACACAAGTTCCACCGAATGATGAAGGCAGTGCATGATGATGCTTGCGGATATATTGGGCCACCCTCCAATGATCGTCTGCATGCTTAAGCAACATGTCAATATTCACTCCTCCAAGCACTATGTACGTATCCTTACATATCTATCCGTATCCACATCTCCTTTTCTATTGCCTACTGTCGTGCAAATTCATGCAGCTAAGGTGTCCTGAGCGTTCTCTGTGTGTGTGTGTGTGCGTGTGTCTTCCCGGCATTGGTCAAGGCAGGGTCCATGCGAATCTTCGCCCTGGCAAACTCCAGTGTCAAGCATTAATCCGCCGACCCCGTGGTGCAGCAAGGGGGAGCGCGCCCCGAAATGGTATGTTCTGTTGTATCAATTGTGGCCATAAGGTGTGCTACTGCTTCTTTATCTAGAAATCCCACCCCGAAGTGTTTTTGGTGCTCGGTGCACAGGTTTCTGTGCCCCTGCAACAGTGGAATTGCCTGCCGAGATCCCAGCTCGAAGTGTCTTTGGT